CCTCTGTGAGGTGTTTTAAATATCCAGCTGTGCGTGGTTCCTCTGTGTGATGTTTTAAATATCCAGATGTGCGTGGTTCTTTTGTGAGGTGCTTTAAATATCCAGCTGTGCGTGCTTCCTCTGTGTGATGTTTGGAATATCCAGCTGTGCGTGATCCACCATCTTTTCCTGGAAGGTGACAGCATGTTCTGCTGTGTGCAGGAGGTTCTGGATCTGGATCTGGGAGACTGACGCCCCCTCCACTGCGTTCCAGTCACCATGAGGGTCCGGCCCCGTCCTGGGGGGGCAGCCCTCCCCCGCTGCCTCCTCCTGGCCCTGGTCCTGAGCGGCGTGGCCAGCGGCGTGCGGCAGGAGGTAACGAAGCTCTGGCCGTTAGGTGTCATGGGAAAGGTCCGGGCCAAACTGGGAACGTCGGTATCCATCTGATACCAGTCCCAGGGCTGGGGAGGGAACGTTGGGGTTATTAGGGGGGGTGAATAGAGAATGGAGGGTTTCTGCCCTTATCTAATGGCCTGTCTATTTGCTGCCTTTTTGTTTAACCCCAGTTTTCTCCTGTTTATGTGTTTGCTAGGGTAGGTTATTTTGTAGGCTTGCATGTTTTGGTTTTAGTCGGAATTTAGGCGTGTAAACTTTTCTTTTTCTTTTAGGGTTGTTTTGTTGTTTTGTATTTTGGCCCGATCTCTCCCTGAAGCTATTGCCACTCTTTACAGCTAATTTCTTTAAAAAGATGGCAGAATAAACATCCTTGACTCCTTCAATATAAACAATATTATTATTAATAGTATTATTTATTTATTTATTTGTATTATTTCCCACTTGGCTTATTAAAGTATTTCTGATTCTGCTCCACTGTCCAAATTTATGTTGATCATCTATATCTCCCAGACCCAGACAGTGGGACGTAACAATATCAACAGAAATGAAAATTAACTTTAAGGCTTGATATGAATTCCAAAAAATGCAAAAACGATGTCAAAAGAAAAGGCGAAGGAAAGAGACATGAAGTTAAGAAAGGAAACAGGACGTGTGACACATAATAATCCCGAACCTAACCTTTAAGTGTCTGTCTTTAAGTCCTGATCCTGACAGGTGGATTTCCTTTGTGTGCAGGACGCTGGCGCCCTAACGGTGGTGGAGAACCCGGAGGGCAGCGAGGGAGAGGAGGAAGCCACGGTCGAAGAAAGTGAAGAGTTAGAAGTGTTCCAGCCCTCTGAGCAGTGGCAGACGCTCAGACCAGGTAATGTCCGTCCACCGGTGCCCTGCTGACACGGGTTCAGAGCCACAGGAAGACGGTCAGTTCGGACACAAACAGCCAGATGAACGTCCATCCACTTAGGGGCCAGCCCTGACTGAGGCCCTGACCTCTCCAAAAGGTTTAGTCAAGTCTGAATGACCCACATATGGGCAGGGATGAAGGACATTTAAATGAGTTCTGTCCTTAAGTTTTTATTTTTATTAGATTTTTTTTATTTTACACATATTTTTTATTGTTGTTAAAACTGATATACAATGTCATATAGGTTGTAATGTTTTACAGTTGTTACAGTTCTTATGGCGACAGTGTACAATGTAACTAGAATTACACAGCATTTTAACAATTTACATTTTGATATTTTTATAACCCCCATTCAACCCTAACAATCCATGTGCTGGCAAAGGAAAAAAAAAAAAAAAAAATTAATTAATTAAATACTGAGAATTAAAATGAATAATTATACTAAATAATAATGATAATTTAACAACAATTACACAGCATAATTAAAATGAATAATTATACTAAATAATATTGATAATTTAAACAAAAAAAGTTTAAAAAGATATTAACACTAACACTATTTTTGGGAAACTTCTAACTTTCACTCCACCACGTTTTAATGACAAAAATCCTACTTTTAACTCTAAAAGCTAAATTTCTACTCGTTACTCGTGTTGGTTGTGTTTGTTAGTGTAATTTGTGTCTATTTTGTCTCTCTGACACTGTAAAGTTATTTGGTGCTCTCATCTCTGGTTGGTGGCTGCCGTATACTGTACTTAATCTCTATTTTTAGTATTTTTATTTATTTATTTATTTATATTTTTTTGCTTAATTTAATTTTAACTTAATAACTTCATACTTTTTGCCCTTTAAGCTGCTGGTAACCTTAATTTCCTGAGGGAGTCTTCCCAAGGGATCAATAAAGTACTGTCTAAGTCTAAGTCTAAGTCTAATCTGCCACATTCTGACGTATTATGCCACATTCTGCCCTATTTTGCCACATTCTGCCATATTCTGTCATTTTCTGCCACATTCTGCCTTTCCGACTGTAGCTGTAAATGCGCTGAAGCTCCTCTGGTTGTGTCCCCGCGTGTTTCTCAGTGTGTCCGGCGTGTGTTTCAGGACAGATGGTGCCGGCGGGCTCCCACGTGAGGCTGAACCTGCAGACGGGTGCGCGGGAGGTGAGGCTGGGAGAGGAGCAGCTCAAGTACTGGACTCAGGCGCACGGGTGCGGTGGCCGGCCCAACTCCACCTCCTTCCACACGTTCTGGGGTAGTCACGACAATTTAAACTCCCTTCCTCTCTACAGGGACAAGGAAGACTCCGGGACCCCTTTCAGTCCTGATGAGCTGAAGCGAGCCATGAAGAAGATTAAGGAGGACCTGAAGCTCGCGGGCGCAGACCCGAGCCACCAGGCGGCCGTACGCGTTACTGACCGCTCACCTCGCCCAATCCAGCGGAAAGCAGCCGCCCGGTAACGCGGGTCCCGTTTCTGCTGTGTGCCCGCAGGACTCCGGGCCGGCCCGGTTCCGCCCCCTGGAGGAGCTGAAGAGGGACATGGCTCAGCTGGACCTGCTGGTGGAGACGGATGTTCAGGTGCTTCAGTCTTTGTGACGCTGAGATGCAAAATTTAATATCTGCACGCACCGTGGCGCCGCGGTTTGCTGGTCAGTTCGCTCACGAAGTGGCCAGATGCCTGGCCCTAAGCTGTCCAAACGGCTCAGTTAGGGTGACCATATTTTTAATTTCCAAAAAGGAGGACACTCTAGACAGATTCAGATAGGCTTCTCAGATGTTAATGAACATGCTTTATTATACCTCAATGGTACAAAAATAACTTGGATAGTAAAACACCATCTGTAACAACCAGTAACAAAATGATAGCCCTCTTTTAAAATGCATAAATAAAATTAAATAACGTCCTAAATATGACCTCTTCTGCATTAGAAAATGCAGCTTCAACAAAATACCTCTTAATACCCTCCTAATGTAGTAAATGAAACAGTCTCACAACGACACAAGCTCAATAAAAAGGATCTATACTAAGTATAGATACTTGACTGATTTATGTTTTTTAATTCAAAGGGGAAATGATGAAGTCGATGTAACTGCGAAGTTATCCGTAATGGCGGTTTTTGCATTCCAGATCATGAGACGGCTGTTGGACCAGTACAACAGCAGTAACGCCACCACCGAGGAAAGGCTGGGCATCCTGCTGGAGCTGGAGTATCTGGTCCACCAGGTGAGGCGAGAAAAAATGGCAAGTTCTCACACTATACGGCCCGATGCTCTTATGCGATCTGACCACTCACACTGTACGTCCATAAACGCACATCGGACAGAAGAAGAAGTTGTAGAGCGATGCGATAGCCTCATTAGGGCCCACCGGAATTTCAAACCGGTTTGATTTTCGTCCGACCATGCAATTGTTGATCGGGAGGTGGCCGCGAGAGGTTAAGCGCTTCTCCTCATTCAGTGTGTGCCTCACGATGTGAGGCGCACGAGTAAAGCTGAAACTCGATCCAATAAATTCTCGCACGAGTGAAAAACCATTAAAAAAAGCGGCAAAAATGTATGCCCAGCTTATTGAGCCAGAGGTTGGGGGCAACTCCGGGCCCTCAAGGAACGCTGTCCTGCAGGTTTTAGAGCTGAACCACCTTTAGAGGAGATCAGTTTGATCCGAATCAGGTGTGTGGAAGCAGGAGAATATCTAAAACCCGCAGGACAAAGGGGCCTGGAGCTGCCCGCCCCTGCCCTAAGCTGTCCCACCCACAGATGACCCAGTCCTCATGTGTTCCGTCTCCAGGTGGATAACGCCCAAACGCTGTGCTCCATGGGGGGCATGGAGTTCATTCTGGAGGCTCTGAACAGCTCTGACGTCAGGTTACAGGAGGCGTCCGCCTTCGTTCTGGGATCCGCCTTGTCCAGGTAGGAACGGATCCACGACCGAGCTGATCTTTAGGGCCTACGAGTTCTTAACTGGGCATAGAGCTGACTCTCAGGTGCTTCTCCCGCAGTAACCCGGCGGTCCAGGTGAGGGCGGCGGAGAGCGGCGCTCTGCAGATGCTCCTCACCGCGCTGGCCAACGCTCAGCCAATCCGGGTCAAAAAGAAGGTCTGTGCGTAGACTCCTTCCTAAAGCTTCGGTCTGAGCACCGCCCGCTCCGTTGGGCTCATCTCCGCGTTTCTGTGCCCGTCTCCTCAGGTTCTGTTCGCAACGGCGTCGCTCTTGCGTCACTTCCCCTTTGCGCAGAAGCACTTCCTGTCCCACGGCGGCATGCAGGTCTTGTCCGACTTGTTCCGGGCAGACGAAAGCGGGATCCTGCGCACCCGTATCGTCACCATGCTGTACGACATGATCAGTGAGAAGGTAGAACACCCATTGTGTGTGTGTGTGTGTGTTTGTCCAGTGAAGGTGTTCAGTCACCACCTGCACTGAGTCCAGGGGGGAATCCCTGGATGTCGCCATCGTAACATTCTCCATTCATCTCACAGAAGCTTATCCATTTTCAAAATGCTGCCATAAGTTGGGTCAGAAGTTGAGTATCTGACAGTATTCATGTTTAAAGTCAAGTTTCCATTGATTGATTGATTGATTGATTACTTTATTGATCTCACAAGGAGAAATTAACTTCCAGTACAGCCCGTACCAAGATCATACATCAGACTTTCTATTTGTGTCTTTTAGTGGACCTAACACGTGTAGCAAAAATATAAAGAATAAATTAGAATTCTGAATTTTAATATTTTTCCATAATTCAAATCCTGATGATGTTTTATATTTTTTTCTGATTTATTGATGTAATTTTAATGTTCCTAGAGCGTTTAGAAAGGACGGTCCTCGGAAGGTAAGCATTTTTCAGGGACCCCATATTGGTCAGAAACAAGACTGTGTGTGTGTGTGTCCAGTGAAGGTGTGCTATACTCGGTGTGTTCTGTTCTGTCAGGAGCTGACGTCGGGGCCTTTGGACCCGGGCCGGGACCCCTCCCAGGAGGAGCGGCGGCGCCAGTACTCGGAGGTGTCCCTGCGGGGGGGGGCTGCTGGAGAAGGGCTGGTGCGGCCTGGTGCCGCAGCTGCTGCGGTCGGCCGAGCACGACCACAGGGAAAAGGTGGGTTCGTCCAGGGGGAGGAGCGGGCGCAGAGGAGGCGGACGTTAAAAAAAAAAGCTAACGGCGGGTGACTCTGACGGCTCTTCGCAGGCTCTGCGGGCCCTGCTGGCCATGGCGCCAGTGTGCCTGGACCGCTATCGCTCGGACGCCTCGTTACGGGACTCCCTGCTCACCCTCAGGCTCCAGTACCAGGAAATAGTCCGGTCCGAAACGGTCCTGGGAGAAGAGAGCGGCTACTTTACAGAGATGGTAGAACTAATAGAATCCCTGCAGGTCAAACTGAATGACCAGAGCAGAGTGGACACAGACCCAACAAGGCACCTTTGAGGACATTTTTTTTCCTTTTTAAATTAAAATATCACTGGTGGCAGGCAGATGTGTTTTTTCTGCATTGGAGGGAGTTCACAGAGCTTTGGATGGGCCTCGGTTTGTTTTTGGGGGCTGTTTGTTGTCACTGCCAAAAGCATTTTGCCGTTGCTCCTCAGTGATCTGTTCTCTCATTTCATCAGGGGAAACTAAATGCGTCTGGTCAGATTCAGAGCTTCTGCTCAGGCGTCAGCCCCGTCTGACATTCATATGTGTGTTGTTACGAAGCACAATCTTTTCTCCCGGAAGGTGCCTAACGGTTGATTCCGGATGTGCTAACGCTCCCGCTGTCTTTGATTAGCAGCCTAAGCGTGCTCCCTTTGACACATGGACCTTAAATAGAAGATAAAAAATGTATGTGTGTGAAAACCAGAGGGTTCAGGCTTCTGTTTGTAATGCCGCTGCTGTACAACAAGGTTAAGTTTGCAATTTCTGATCTTTTTCGTTATTTAACTGTGGCCTGGATAAGGCAAATGAAGAAAAAAAAGAGTAGAATCGTCTGATTTAATGGTAGCCCTAGAGTTGTCAGGAGCAGCTGAATTATTTAATTATAGTTAATTAAAGGGGGAATATATTGATATTCTGGTCTTTGTGTATTCATTTAGGATAGAAGGATTAGCACCTGAGCCATGTGTTCTCCATGCATGGAAATAATGAGCTAACAAACATTTTTCGACGGTTGTATATCTCTTTATTTAAAAATATGGTTAATCGCATTTTTAATTACACCCCGGTTGTGTCTTTTCCAGATGCTGCCACATTTGACACTTAATTAACTTTATTTCCACAAAACCTCTGAATCATAAAGCCGACAAGGCTGAAATCTGTCAAAAACTTTAATGATTTCATTTTCAGATGTTGTTCAGGATGCGTGAAACAGTTTCGATATATTTTACCACACTTTGAAGCTTGTTCATTAATGTGAATTTCTGCCTTCTGTGGATTCTGTCCAACTGGAGCTGAGAAACTACAGATCAGAGATGCTGAGAAAGGAGCTGCTCTTGTAACAACGCCTTTTTAATTTATTCTTTTTACTGGATGAGTTACTACCACATGGACTAAATGGTTGACTAAATTATGATACTCAGCCTTCTATTGGATTAATCAACAATGTCCCTGTTAGTTATTGGGCACCTCCATATTGGGCCCAAATTCTCAGGGGCTTCCTTAAAGGTCAGTTTTGAACTAGAATTGTTTTGCAAGTTGCAGCTTACCAATCCATCTCGGCAAAGAGTTTCCTTTAAAAGGACATTTTAATAATTCATTTGTGGGACATTTAGAACCTCGATACTACCATTCTGCAGCTTTTCTGCTGAAAGAACGAACCGGAAGTTGCACCTACCGGAAATGACGTCGCCCCGGACGGGTGTTGTTTTGTTATCAGCACCAGTTAGCCTTCGAACGTCGGTCCCGGTCGCGTAAGGACGACGTCCCTCCTGTAAATGGACCTCTCCTGGTCCATAAACGAGGTGTCCGTCTGCTCGTGGTTGCGTTTGCGTGCTGTTTGAACTCTGAGCGCTCGAGCTCGGCGGACGTGTCGTTCGGTGACCGCTGGTAGCCGGCAGGTGTGTCGGCGCCGGACATGGGTCGCCGTCGCGGGTTAAACGATTGACGCGGTCACCGGCGGGCAGTGTGAGGTCAGCGGCCGGGGGATGGAGGGGTCTCAGAGGGAGCGGCTGTCCGAGCTGGTGGAGGAGCTGACCACATCTGGACAGCCGCAGCTCAGTCCGGACAAAATGAAGGAGCTCAAGAGGATGTGCAAGTATGGGTTCCCAGATAATTCCGTCGACTGCCTTCACGTGCTAATTAAGTCTTGATTTTGATTGGTTAATGTAGATCTTGAAGCATTCACGGTTGGCGTTTGTCCTCTGTTTGTGTCAGAGTGTCCAGTGACTGCATAGAGCAGGTGTACCATTCAGTCATGTCCCAGCTGAACCAAGACCATGCCGAGATAAGGATGTCTGCTTTCCAAATAGCCAGCGAGCTTTTCTCCAGGTCGCACCACTTCAGGACTCTGTTGGTGGACAACTTCCAGGTAAGGGGGGCGCTCCCATGTAGATCTAGCTTTCATGTCGTCCACACTGAGGTGAGAACCGGTCATATTTTGTCCAAGTTGTGGTCATGTCTTCAAGCTAGAAAAGGTTTTTTTCTGCTGATAGAGACACAGAAATCTAGTTTGGATCACATTTTCCATTTGGATTCATTTGACAAAAGCTCTAATAAGCCAGAACTCTTCCAGACACAGTGGGGTTGGGCTGGTGTTTGGTGTAACCGTTTGTAACCCCCCCCCTGAATCCTCTCCCTGCAGGACTTCCTGGAGTTAACGGTGGAGACGGATACGGAGAGGCCCCTGCCTCCTCCCAAAGAGGTGGCCAGGAGGCTGCGCGCTCTGGCCATCCAGACGGTCCAGTCCTGGCACGCCTCGCACGGCTCCGTCTATAAGAAGCTGGCCCTGGGCTACCACTTCCTCAAACAGGTCAAGAAGGTGAGGGCAGAGTTTGTTGGCCGTCTCCTGGTGCTGTTTTCACACCGTCGGCGAGTCAGTGAAGGAAGCACTGGTGGGGGGGGGGGGGGCTACTTTTGCTCTGGTTTCAGATGTTGCTCAGACTGTTTCAAAAGTTTTTATTATGAATCAAAACCTGTTCTTACAATCAATGCTCTTCCGGCTTTCCTGGATTAAGAAAGGGAATAAAAACTGAGGAGGAGAACATTCCGCTAATGAAATACAGTAGAACCTCTCCTACAATTGCCTAAACATTGGAATTTTCCAACATCCGAAATGAAATTCGATCAAATATTCGACTCGACACCTGAAGTAAATTTCCAACATGACGTTGAACTTACAAAAAATAAATGAACTTAAATAAGATAAGTTAGTTTAAAGTTCACGTAGTGAAAGTTAAAGTAAGTTATGGTACGTGCTGTGTCTCAGTCCCCACCTCTACCTCCACACCAACCGTCTCCTCCGTCTCCTACAAGTGCCACTAAAAAAAAACTTTTTATTGATTATTTCTTTATAAGTTATTTCTTTTTGCATCTCTCTTATATAATGCATTTGTTTTATTGCTGTGTAATTATATGCAGTATTTATTAAGGAGTTATAAGTTTTTGGGGGTGTGGAACGAATTATGCAAATTACAGTGTATGGGAATATTTGAACCAACATACATACCAATATTTTAACATACGAAGTAGGTACTAAAACGAATTAAATTAGTTTGTAAAGGTTCTACTGTAGTCAGCACACTGGATGTGTTGAGCTCCTCATAAGGTGTGTCAACTTGGTTTTTTAACAAAGAAAAAGAGGATGACGGAGAGGGTTTAATCACACGGCTCCTTCGGAGGGACGCTTAGGTCATTTCTGACGTGGCTTGTTGGGCTTTTCCGAGTTATGCGGTTTGTATCGTTCTGAATGGAAGCGTTCTTGTCCGTAGGTCGACTTCCAGGACGCCGAAGCCAGGACGGTGGCGGAGAGAAGGAGGGAGGAGGAGAGACGGAGCAAGATGGAGAGGATCTACAGGGCCCGAGTGGAGGCGGCATCCAAAGAAATGGAGGGTAAACGCCACAGGAAGAGGCCGCGACTGGGTTTCATAGCCCTGCTGCTCTTTGATCATGACTTTTTTTCTTTATTTTTTAACATGTGGATAGATCTTAAAGGGACATTGTGTAGTATTTTAAGTATTTTATTAGCTAAAAACATTTTTCTTGATTTATAAATGTGTCCTCATTTGGTGTAAAATTAAATGAAGAATTTCCTATCTGTATCTACACAGGACGGGTAAGTCCACGGAGGTTTCCATGGCGTTCCACCATTTTGAAAAACTAGAATGGCAGAGAGGGACATAAAGCACCAGTCTAGCTAATGATTCAATGAAGTTTGTAATTTCTTTTAAATGACAAACCTCATCACCCGTGAAAAAACTTAATGATGTGGAAGTCATGTTGTAATTACTTCTTGATGCTTGACAGCTACCATAGTTGTAATACCCGTTTGTAAATGTGAGGCACCGGAGAGCACTATTTGTTAGAATGCAAAATAAAATTTCCCCATCAGATGGGAGAAATTCCTGCACCGCGTCCCTTTAACGTAGTTGTTCCAAGATTAGTGACAATCGCATTAACAGAGGTTCTCATTTTTGTTTTTTTGTCAGAGTCATACCAAGAAATAGAGGCGACCCTGACAGAGATGGAATCCTGTATGAGGCTGCTGCTCCCCGAGTTCTGCGCCGCAGATTTCCAGACGGCAGACGGCAGCCCCTCGGTCAGCCCATCGGTCAGCCCTTCGGTCAGCAGCCGGCCCGCCGGCGCCGAGGAGCCCTGCTGCAGCAAGCAGCTGACGGACAGCCGGGCAGGAGAGACCAGCGCTGCCACGGGACCCAAAGGAGTCGAAGGAGCAGCCGGGAAGGAAAGTAACGGCCCCGAGGACGAAAGAGGAAAGGAGGAGCCAGAGAAAAGGCATAAAGGAGAGAGGAGGGAGCGCCAGAGGAGCCGGGCCGAGCAGGTGGGGGTAGAGAAGGACAACGGAGAAGGAAGCAGTGAACAAGAAGAAGAGGAAGAAGCCTGTGCCGAGGACTGTTTCATCAGAGACTCTGGCCTCATCTCTCACTCCTACAACCTGGACCTGAACCTCAGTCCTGGTGGGTAGCCCTCTAACAGAGCAGCGGCTCTTAACCTTTTTTGAGGCAGTTTCCTTCTTTAGTGCGCCTTCTTTAGTGCTAAATAAAATATGATTTTGTTTCCAAATTCAAGACTGGTGCACAAAATGAGCCGTACATGAACATCCCCTTGCTCAAAGAACAAAACCAACACAGTGCATGAACTCAAAACAAATTGCCGTATTACTTTATTCTGGCCCCCAAAAGATATTTCGGCCCACTAAAAGAATTTTAGCCCAAAAAAAGAAAAGAATTTAACATTTTTCAATAACTTCAATAACTTTTTTTCATTTAAAATTTAATTTGTTTTTTATATCATGCAGACAGGACGTTGTACATATTAGTCCGACTATTTTCTTTTTTTGCTCGGCATATTTTGTATGGAATAAAATATTACCTCCCTCCCGCACCACATAACCGCGTTTCTCAGACCCACCTGACCACTGAAGATGACCCTCCTGTGGTTTCCCCCCGCAGGTCTTCACGTGAAGGAGACCGAGGACAACGAGCCGGTCGTTGCTATGGTGACGGAGCTCCACAGACTCATCACTACGAAGCACCTCCCGGCCGTGCAGGGCTGGGTTCAGGTAGGCAGGGCAGATTATGTTTATGTTTCTGCTTTTTATCCAAAGCGGCTTACAAAGTAGACACAGTGTTACAGTTATCATAAGCTCTCATAAGTTATCATAAGTTGCAAGACCTGTCGCGGCTCCATCTTGATCCATATGAAAAGCGCGCCGGATTCTAAGGCGCACTGTCGGTTTTTGAGAAAACTGAAGTTTTTTGAGTGCCTCTTATAGTCCAGAAAATACGGTACTCCTGTTACCAATCAGCCGCTTAAAGCAGGGGACTGCAGAGTCCAGAGAGCGAAACCCCTGGAGTGTGTGCATGCGGTCAGCTCGGTCGGTGGTCTTACTCGAGTCCGTGCCTTCCCCCCTACCCGTGCCCAGGTCTTCACCAAGTCCCACGCCGAGCAGCAGCTGCTGACCAGAGCCCTGGCTCTGAAGAAGGCCCTGGAGGCCTCGCTTCAGAAGCACAGGGAGCTGAACATCGACTCCAGCGGCAAAGAGGTGAGTGGCGGGTTCTCTTTTTCCTCTCGGGTCACAGGCTTTGTCAAAGGGAACTGACCGATCGGTTTAACGCCGTTTGGACGAACCTTTTCACAGCTCAGATGTTTTCACCTAGCGGAGCCTCTTCTGTTTTTGCTCCAACACTTTGGGCTTCTTATGTCTGTCCTGTCCACCGTCTGTGGATAAGACCTGCTTCTGTGTGGAACTCAGTGATGGATTACTCTCCTTGGTATGGAGCTGTAGCCAGATCAGGGCCGTCGTGTTCATTCATTCCTTTGAAAAAAAATATTTAAAACTGAAGAAATCCATGTTGAAACTGAAAGTCAGTTTTCGAAAACAAAACGCATTCAAAATAAAAAGGAATGAAGGAATGCAACTTCATGTAGATTTCTTTTAGATTTGGTATTTTCTTTTGTCGAGTTGGTGGTACAAAAACGCCTTAGAAATATTTTGGGATTTAAAAGAAGTAGTGATGGTTATTGGTTTTGAGGAGGGAAGTCTTTCTCCTTTGCCTGTTTATTTACTGTCCTGAGCCAGAATGGCCAGCAGAGGGCAGCCTCCCACCAGAGGTCAGTGTCGGTGAGGTTCCAGCACAGTGTGTGTGTGTGTGTGTGTGTGTGTCTGTGTGAAGTGACAGCACATTGTGTTTTGAGGTTCAGGCAGTGTGTGTGTGTCTGAGGTTCCAGCACAGTTTGTATTTGTGTGTGTGCAAGGTGTGTGTAACGTTCACACAGAGACACCACGGCTGCCAGAGATGCCAACAAACAAACACAAACAAGTTCGGAAGGAGGATTTGAAAAGGAAAAATACCGGACATTCCATTAGCAAAAAAAAAAATCAGAACTCTGTTTACAGTGAGTGAAAGTTTGTGATCTGACTCATTTGGAAAGACGTGCTCTGTGGCAGACTGTTTTCTACGGACCTGGGACAGGGCCAGGCTTCACCTGCACCACCTGCTGGCCGTTGACAGAGGTGGAGCTCCTGACGCTCGTCCGCACCCTAAAGGAGTCAGAGCCTCACCAATCATGAACCTCACACACTTTATGTGAGGCTGTGCGCTGAGGTTCACGGTTGGTGAGGCACTGACTCCTTTAGAGTCAGATTTACAAATCTATACACCTAAAAGGGTAGCTTATTCAATTGGCTACTGGTTATTTCCTATCTCATGAGTGTTCTTCACACACACACACACACACACACACACACACACACACTCTCTCTCCCTCTCTTACACGTAAGGTATGTATTAAAGGTGTGGAAAGATAAGAAAAAACGTTACTATTACAGCATTGAGAGAGAGAATGTGGCAACAAGCCCCCGTTGGCTCCCCCCCCCCCCCCCTTCAGGGAGGCAGAGTCCTGCCCTGCCTCACCCTGTTGCCTTTTCACTGCGGCTGTATGTCCCATCAGCTAAACTGAATACGTCACTAACAAACGTTAAAGCTAAATGGTTAAAGACGTTAGCCAGACTGTGGGAAATCAGGGTATAGAAACGCATATGCAAACAGTATATTGCATGAATCGAACCGTTTGTGATGGATGGCACATTCAGATGTGAGGAGAGGTTCGTTTCGGCCTTGTACTTGAACAGGGAAAAATGCAATTTCAGCGATTTTTGTCTATGAAAATGTTCACTATTAGTCATACATAAAGATCAGTGGACAAATGATAACATTAATTTTATGTTATCTTTTTTTGTTGTTGTCATAATGACCGCATGATGCTTCCCCTGACCACACGTCCCTGATGTGTGGACACCTAAATTCTAGCTAACAGCATGTGGTCGTGCAGCAAAGAGGTCATACTGACATATGATTTTCAGGAATAATCTCTTCCTGCTCTTCACTTTCTACTCCGGTCGCTTTCTGTGCTCCCCCCGGGCATCTTCTACGGCCATCATATCGCGGAGGCGCATAGGCGGATGAATTCATACCGAAGGCATTTCAAAATCCAGATAAGAGCAAGAGGCAGTCGCTTCTGAGCTTCAGAGACGGGAAGAGGAAAGCGGGCACCAGAGGAGGAGGACGCACGCGTCCGTTCACCCGACTGCCGCTCGCGTGCCCCTCGGCCGCACGGTTACAGGTCTCCCTTTCAGCCCCCCCCCCGGGTCCGGCTCCGTCCACAGCTTGGTCCACTGCTTAGTCCAGGGGGCCCCACTCTGCATAACCGGCTCTCCAGAGACATCCCGAAGGGAAAACCCGGAGCATATCTTGGAAGATTGACAGCCGGCCGCTGTTTTGGGTGTCAGAGGAGCGATAGACGCAAACAGCTTTATGTCTTTAAAAAAAAAAAAAAAAAAAAGAAGGTATGAAAGCGGATCCATCTTCAGCCGAGCGGAGCGTTGGAGTGACAGTGACAGAGCGGCGGGCGCCGGGCTCTGCCTGGTTATCGCTGTCGGGGACCAGTCCGCCGCACCAGCAGCCCCAGCTCCGCGATAACCACACAACTCACAGCCCCCTTTATCATAATTAGCTTTTCCTTTTTAGCTTTAAAAGCCCTTCCATTACCGGGTCCGTCTCTATCGCGGCCGCTGACACGCCGCGCGATTGCCTTCTATCATCGGGGGCCCCTCAGTAAAGTCACCTGTACAGGGAGCACAGGCGCATGGCGGAGAAACAAACAGCCGGCAAAGTTTAATACGCAGCCGGAAGAGCATTAAAGGCCACGTTCCTACATTTGAAATCAAAATATTCGAGTCAGATCGCATCAGGAGTAAACACAGTGTTCTAGCTCGTAGCTAAATCTAAGTAAGCCTCAAGCCGAAAAGAGACGGAACCTTGCTCAGCACATTTAAAAGCAATTTCCTCTTATATTCAACGGCTTTGGAGTTGGAGTTCTGTGGTCTCCGCTCCTCTACGTGATCATTCCAGAGCCCATGTGGGATAAGGAAACAGCGGTCCGAAGCAGAAACGGCCCTCTCGGAGCCCGTGACCCATTCCACGAACACTCGTTTGGATAAATCTGACTGACTTCATCTATACCTCCTCCTTTATTTTTTAGCCTTTGTCAGAATAAAGAGCGCCTGAGCCTTTATTGTGGGGAAGCCAGTAAAGTTTAGGTCAGAAAGGAGCATATTGCGTTAAGCGTAACGCCCGCTTATTCAAACATCTCTGCTTTTTATGAGAGGATTCAGTCACTCCGGCCTCTATTCGGGGCCAGGGCCTTGTTTACCGCTGATAACCCATCTTATCGCAGCGCGGTGGATGCGGCCACCCATTCCTCACTGCAGATAAACAGGGAGACTCCTCGGTTTGCTTCTCCATTCTGCGTGGGACACCATCATTTCAGCTTTATCAATGCGGGAAAAAGTGGGAGTGTGTAGAGACGTGTTGATGAGTTTTTGTTTTTAAATTATTTAACTGTTTTTTTGTTTTTTTTGTAACCATGTCCCGCTCAGCTTTATGGCAGCAGAACTGAAATCTGAGCACCGTGCTGTGCTGAACACGTTTGCTTTGCCAAAGGGAGGTCTTGTTGGCTATTCAACACTGCTTTATTTATTCATTATTGTTACCAAACTTTACAACTATCCAATATTTTCGAACCTGACAGAGAGACAGGGAAGAAAGAAGAGGGAAGGAAAGCGGAACCGAAAAGGAGAAAGATCCTTTAGGCAGAGAAAGAAAGAGAAAAAAGAGAGACAACAAAACTACACAACCAGCTGCTGTGTCTCTACAAAAGGAACTGTTCCTTGTGGGCAATCCGGATGGAGAACCTATAGGAGCTCCTGCAGATGGACACAGGGAAGACAAAAGAACAAACAAACACTGGTAGCAAAGAGTTTCTCAGAGCTGTGCATCAGCTCGACAGAAGCTTGAAGAGGTGTGTGTCTGGGTAACTGTGTGTGTGTGAGAGTGAGGATAAACTCCTCAGCCCAGGTTTCCCAGATTGTGCTCGGTTATGGTGCAGAGGTGCAAAAAAGAAAATTTTATTTATCATTAAAGAATGGTTCAGTGAATGCGCATATCAATCTGGTGGGTTCGGTACCTCAAAAAAGGTTAAGAACCACTGGTTTAGAATAAGACAGATGAGCAGACAGTTCTGACACCCCACCAGAGAGGGGTAAGTACACACTCACACACACAAAGTGTTGGCACACCTGATGGTGTGAAGCTGGCCTGGTCATATGAGATCTAACCGACGTGCTTTAGCGAAGAGCAGGGTGGCGGTAAGTGCTGGGAGTAAGGAGAGCACCGCTCTTCACGGGGAAAGTGTTTGTGATCACAAGAAGAATTAGAAACGGCTTGCATTAGTTCGTGACACGTCCGGAATTCAGCCTCTGAGGTGTTGAATAAACTCCCCGGTCCCCGACCACCAGGGTGCCCTCAGAGTTTTTCAGGATTCCCCCTAAAACTGGAAACGGCGCCCCCGAAAGCTGACGCCTAAAGCCCACAACGGCGGTGGGCAGGGCCGCATACTAATGACTGCCTTAATCACAGATTGAGACGGTCTGGGAGGGGGGGGGTGAGTGGACAAGACAGTTGAGAATAAGCTCCTTGACAGGCAAAGGTTTGGGGAGCTCGGCTCTGACTAATAGACCTGCCAGGCTAGGTTAGCGAAATAAAGATGTCACCTTATGCATCATATAAGCTGACTGCTCCCCGGGGACAGAGGCTGCATCTGTGGGCTGTGCGTGCTCCGGAGGGGGGGCTGGGGGGAGTTGGGAGTGTAATGAAGAGAGGCTGTGGAAAGCTTCTCATTAGAGCGGCGTCCCACGGGGATCTTTTCCAGAAGCGCGAGGCGGTAATAGAGATGTGTGACGCCGCGGCCAACCGGGCCGTGAATAGGTCAGACTCCCCTGGAAGCTTCAGGCCCCTAATTACTTTGTAAATATGTTGAGATCAATCACAGAGAGCGGGGGGCTCTCTACGACGAAACAAAATGTTTGCGAAGTGACCGGCGTAACCATGGCGATCCCTCAGTCCTCTGATGGAAAGATGGACTCTCCAGCTCGCGGTTAAAGGACGTAACGTCTCGTTTGTTTTTTAGCTTCGGAGCCTGATACTCTGAAAAGTTTTCTGGTGGCGTTTTCCATCCATCCATTATCGTTACCGCTTATTC